GAAGGGGGGGGGGAGTTTCTTGCACAACTGAGAGGAAAGAGGAGGAGAAGCTCTGTGTGTGTGTTATGTGTGACAGCTAGGAAATGTATTTATAGGACTTGGGGGCCCTCAAATGCATCCCCCCCCACTTCATAGCTAACTGTTTGGGTTTGGCAGGGGGGTGCTTTGAATCCTCTTCTCTTCGCTTAATCCTTTGCCATCCTACCTTCTCAGCTGTGTTTAAAATGTCCCGGTTATTCTCATTCTCTCTCTCTTCCTCTCAAGTGCCCCTTTTGTCCACAGCTGACTTTTATTGCTATAAACTGAGCACAAAGTCCTAGTTTCTCAGCTGCTTTTAAAATGCCCCAGTTACTCTCTCTCTTTCCCACTCTTTTCCTCTTCCTCCTTTGTCCACAGCTGACTTTAATTCCTGCAAACTCCTCCCTTCTCAGCTGCTTTTAAAATCTCATGCTCTCTTTTTCATTTTTTCTCACTTGCTCCTTTTGTTCTCAACTGACTTCCATTGCTGCAAACTGATAAATCTACACTGTAGAAATAATGCAGTTTGACACCAGTTTAACTATCAAATGTTGAGGTATAACAATTTCTTTAAGTGTGATCCATAGTTTCTCATGATCTATACAAATGTTTTGCTGTAGTTGACAAAAACATAGACTGATTTTCTTTGGAAATCCCTTGGTATGTTCCATTATCCAATGCATGTTTGCTATATGATCTCTACTGCTTCTTCCTTTCCTGAACCTGGCTTGGACTTGCTTCATGTATGGTAAGAGTTTTTGTTGTAGAATTTTGAGCATCACCTTTCATGTGAAATTCATGCAATGGTCCTGTGGTTACTACAATTCCTAATATCCCCTTTCTTTGGGATTAGAATATATACTGAATGCTTTCAGTCTGTGGGCTCTTGTTTTGTTTTCCAAGTTTGTTGACAGATTTTAGTGAAAACTAGAGTAGTTTCTGTCTCTGTAGTTTGAAGCAGCTCTATTGATAAACCATTTGTTTCTAGTGGCTTATTTCTCTCAAGTACTCTGAGTGCAGCTCTCATGTCATTTTGTAAAACTGGAGGTTCATCCTCATATGATTTGTCTTTAAATAAATCAGTCATCATTTCATCTCATTTATATAGTTCTTCTTTGTATTGTTTCCATTATCTTTTTATTTCTTTTTGGTCTTGTAATATGTTCCCCTACTGGTTGTAAAGCATCCCCACTCTTGGGTAAAATTTTCCTTTCATTTCTTGGATCTTGTTGAAGAGGTCTGTTGTTCATCCTTTTGTTGTGTTGTTAGCTTCTGCTTCATTGCATTGATTATTATAGTAGTTCTCCTTACCCTTGTTCACAAGTCATTGGATATTTGCATTCAGGGTCTCTTTCTGTTTGTCATATTTATTTTTGCTTCTGTTCTGTCTTTGACAATAGAGTTTCATCTGTCATCTACTGAGGCTTGTCTTTCTTTTTGCTACAGATAATGCCTTTCTCCTTTTCTTTTGAACAATGTCCATGGCTTTAGTCTCAAGTTATTCTGGTGCCTGGTCAATTAAGCTTAATTGTGGAAATCTATTTTTTTTTACATTACTCTTAAATTCTTTGGTGATGTTCTTCTAGTTGCATTTTGACCTGATGGCCGGTGTAGTGTTCTTCTTTAGCTTTACTCTAACTTTTCCTAATAGTAGTTCATGGTCTATGTCACAATCTGCTCCTGGCCTTGTTTATGCAGAGAGACTGGAGCTTCTCCATCATCTACTTCCAATTATGTAGTCTGTTTGATTTCTATATAGTCCATCAGGTGATGTCCATGTATACAGTTGCTTCTTGGGCTGCTTGAAGAATGTGTTTGCAATGTCCGAATTGTTGACCTCATAGAATTCAGTCAGGCTCTTTCCTGTTTTGTTACTTGAACCCAGACCAATTTTTCCTGTGATCTTTGATTCTGCTCTACTTCCTATTTTTGCATATTTTGTGCATGACACCAACCATAATGCCAAAAATGCAACCTGTGAAGAAATAGTATACATATTCTGCACAGAACAGAATGCACAGAAAAATGCTCTTTTTTTGTGCAGAAAATAATAATAATTCTTGCAGTGCAAATATTGCCATCACTCTGGAATTCTTTTTTTCCAGAGTGTCTCAACAATTGAGAAACATGTTTTCTGGCCAATTTTTTTTTTTTGGTGGGGAGATATTTTTGAATTTTTGAAAAGGGAACTTTTGAAAAACAGGAAAATGAATTTGAGCTACTTTTGAAGAATGGGAAAATATATTGCTCCTTTTTTCAAAATTGTAAATATAATGGCAAGGAACTACTCTTTGGAGAGTCAGTGTGGCATAGTGATCTGAGTGTTGAACTATGATTCTGAAGATCAGGGTTCGAATCCTGGGTCGGCCATGCAAACCTACTGGGTAACCTTGGGCAAGTCACGCTCTCTCGGCCTCAGAGGAAGGCAATGACAAATCTCCTCTGAACAAATCTTGCCTCGAAAACCCAAGGACAGGTTCACCTTAGGGTTACCATAAGTTGGGAATGACTTGAAGGCGCACAACAACCAACAGATGACTCTTTGGGGGAACTAGAATGTTTGAAAAAGCAACTTCCTGCACACTGCCCGTTCCTTGATTGGATGTGAAAGTTTCTTCTAGGCCACCTTGACCTTCTGTGATGGCCGCTTTCAACTCTCGCCTCAAGACGCATTCTATGCTTGACCCCATGGTACTAATAAGAAGGGACCAGCAAAGAATGCCGGAGCAATGATCTGAGAAAAAAGGGCGAGAAGATATTAAAAAGCCACCATTGTCTAGAGGAAAACAACTGTCAGCTTATTCCAGCCAGGAGTTGGGTAGGAGGGCATGGGAGAGCTTAACGCTGGTGCCGGGTCAGGGAAACCCTCTTCTCCTCTTGACCCCAACAGAGGCCAATAAAAACCAACTCTGTGCCTATGGCTTGGATCGCAGGAAGTTAAACCGTTAATTGAACAAAGCACAAGACAGATACTGTAAGGGGCAATTAAAATCCCAAGCAAGAAGAGGAGGAGGAGGAGGAGGAGGAGGGTGATGTCACGGGGGCTGCCCAGCTTCCCCTACAATCCTCCTTTACACTGGAGTCAAAAATGGGGTCTTCCAGAAAAAAATTCTAGCACCCAGTTAAAAATGGCCAGTTTAAAGATCATCTAAGATCTATAGATGCACTCCCTCTCTCACACACATACAACATATTATCCTGTTTGGAAATGAAGG